TGCAAACAATTCAGTTTACAGTGTAGACGCCCAGTTGTTAATTACTATGCCTAGTTCAACGAGGTTATGGTTGTTAACTAGGGAGGTGACAACAAGAGCAGATGTAGCCCTGCCAGAAGACTCCTGCTGGAGGTGGCAACAACAGCAGATGCAGCCCTGCCAGAAGACTCCTGCTGGAGGTGGCAACAAGAGCAGATGTAGCCCTGCCAGAAGACTCCTGCTGGAGGTGGCAACAAGAGCAGATGTTGCCCTGCCAGAAGACTCCTGCTGGAGGTGACAACAAGAGCAGATGTAACCCTGTCAGAAGACTCCTGCTGGAGGTGACAAGAGCAGATGTAGCCCTGCCAGAAGACTCCTGCTGGAGGTGGCAACAAGAGCAGATGCAGCCCTGCCAGAAGACTCCTGATAAATTAGACACATGTGCAACTCTTGGGTATCTTTATTGAGGAAACGTTTCGCCACACAGTGGCTTCATCAGTCCATACAAAGGAGAATCTTGAAGAACAGGAGTAGAATGAGGTAATCAGTCCCTCAACCTTGAGTCGATGTGGTCAGTCCATCAATCTTGAATAGAATACGGCATACGTGCGGAGAAGGAGCTTATAAACCGTTGGTAGGAGAGGTGCAGCAGTCATAGGCGGTGTCACATTTGTTCAATGTGGAAGTAGGTTGATGGACTGACCACATCGACTCAAGGTTGAGGGACTGATTACCTCATTCTACTCCTGTTCTTCAAGATTCTCCTTTGTATGGACTGATGAAGCCACTGTGTGGCGAAACGTTTCCTCAATAAAGATACCCAAGAGTTGCACATGTGTCTAATTTATCAACATGTCGGTTCTCTGAACCATTCATCTACAGAAGACTCCTGCTGGAGGTGGCAACAACAGCAGATGCAGCCCTGCCAGAAGACTCCTGCTGGAGGTGGCAACAACAGCAGATGCAGCCCTGCCAGAAGACTCCTGCTGGAGGTGGCAACAACAGCAGATGCAGCCCTGCCAGAAGACTCCTGCTGGAGGTGACAACAAGAGCAGATGTAGCCCTGCCAGAAGACTCCTGCTGGAGGTGGCAACAACAACAGATGCAGCCCTGCCAGAAGACTCCTGCTGGAGGTGGCAACAACAACAGATGCAGCCCTGCCAGAAGACTCCTGCTGGAGATGGCAACAACAGCAGATGCAGCCCTGCCAGAAGACTCCTGCTGGAGGTGGCAACAACAGCAGATGCAGCCCTGCCAGAAGACTCCTGCTGGAGGTGGCAACAAGAGCAGATATAGCCCTGCCAGAAGACTCCTGCTGGAGGTGGCAACAACAGCATATGTAGCCCTGCCAGAAGACTCCTGCTGGAGGTGGCAACAACAGCAGATGCAGCCCTGCCAGAAGACTCCTGCTGGAGGTGGCAACAACAGCAGATGCAGCCCTGCCAGAAGACTCCTGCTGGAGGTGGCAACAAGAGCAGATGCAGCCCTGCCAGAAGACTCCTGCTGGAGGTGGCAACAAAAGCAGATGCAGCCCTGCCAGAAGACTCCTGCTGGAGGTGGCAACAAGAGCAGATGTAGCCCTGCCAGAAGACTCCTGCTGGAGGTGGTAACAAGAGCAGATGCAGCCCTGCCAGAAGACTCCTGCTGGAGGTGGTAACAAGAGCAGATGCAGCCCTGCCAGAAGACTCCTGCTGGAGGTGGTAACAAGAGCAGATGCAGCCCTGCCAGAAGACTCCTGCTGGAGGTGGCAAACAAGAGCAGATGTAGCCCTGCCAGAAGACTCCTGCTGGAGGTGGCAACAAGAGCAGATGTAGCCCTGCCAGAAGACTCCTGCTGGAGGTGGCAACAAGAGCAGATGCAGCCCCGCCAGAAGACATCCTGCTGGAGGTTGGCAACAACAGCAGATGCAGCCCTGCCAGAAGACTCCTGCTGGAGGTGGCAACAACAGCAATATGTAGCCCTGCCAGAAGACTCCTGCTGGAGGTGGCAACAAGAGCAGATGTTGCCCTGCCAGAAGACTCCTGCTGGAGGTGGCAACAACAGCAGATGCAGCCCTGCCAGAAGACTCCTGCTGGAGGTGGCAACAACAGCATATGTAGCCCTGCCAGAAGACTCCTGCTGGAGGTGGCAACAAGAGCAGATGTTGCCCTGCCAGAAGACTCCTGCTGGAGGTGAGAACAAGAGCAGATGTAACCCTGTCAGAAGACTCCTGCTGGAGGTGACAACAAGAGCAGATGTAGCCCTGCCAGAAGACTCCTGCTGGAGGTGGCAACAAGAGCAGATGTTGCCCTGCCAGAAGACTCCTGCTGGAGGTGAGAACAAGAGCAGATGTAACCCTGTCATTAGACTCCTGCTGGAGGTGACAACAAGAGCAGATGTAGCCCTGCCAGAAGACTCCTGCTGGAGGTGGCAACAAGAGCAGATGCAGCCCTGCCAGAAGACTCCTGCTGGAGGTGGCAACAACAGCAGATGTAGCCCTGCCAGAAGACTCCTGCTGGAGGTGGCAACAAGAGCAGATGCAGCCCTGCCAGAAGACTCCTGCTGGAGGTGGCAACAACAGCAGATGTAGCCCTGCCAGAAGACTCCTGCTGGAGGTGACAACAAGAGCAGATGTAACCCTGCCAGAAGACTCCTGCTGGAGGTGACAACAAGAGCAGATGCAGCCCTGCCAGAAGACTCCTGCTGGAGGTGGCAACAAGAGCAGATGCAGCCCTGCCAGAAGACTCCTGCTGGAGGTGGCAACAAGAGCAGATGCAGCCCTGCCAGAAGACTCCTGCTGGAGGTGGCAACAACAGCAGATGTAACCCTGCCAGAAGACTCCTGCTGGAGGTGACAACAAGAGCAGATGTAGCCCTGCCAGAAGACTCCTGCTGGAGGTGACAACAAGAGCAGATGTAACCCTGCCAGAAGACTCCTGCTGGAGGTGGCAACAAGAGCAGATGCAGCCCTGCCCGAAAGACTCCTTGCGAGGTGGCAACAACAGCAGATGTAACCCTGCCAGAAGACTCCTGCTGGAGGTGACAACAAGAGCAGATGTAACCCTGCCAGAAGACTCCTGCTGGAGGTGGCAACAACAGCAGATGTAGCCCTGCCAGAAGACTCCTGCTGGAGGTGACAACAAGAGCAGATGTAACCCTGCCAGAAGACTCCTGCTGGAGGTGGCAACAACAGCAGATGTAACCCTGCCAGAAGACTCCTGCTGGAGGTGACAACAAGAGCAGATGCAGCCCTGCCAGAAGACTCCTGCTGGAGGTGGGAACAACAGCAGATTGTAAACCCTGCCAGAAGACTCCTGCTGGAGGTGACAACAAGAGCAGGATGTAACCCTGCCAGAAGACTCCTGCTGGAGGTTGGCAACAACAGTAGATGTACCCTGCCAGAAGACTCCTGCTGGAGGTGACAACAAGAGCAGATGTAACCCTGCCAGAAGACTCCTGCTGGAGGTGGCAACAACAGTAGATGTAGCCCTGCCAGAAGACTCCTGCTGGAGGTGACAACAAGAGCAGATGTAACCCTGCCAGAAGACTCCTGCTGGAGGTGGCAACAACAGCAGATGTAACCCTGCCAGAAGACTCCTGCTGGAGGTGGCAACAACAGCAGATGTAGCCCTGCCAGAAGACTCCTGCTGGAGGTGACAACAAGAGCAGATGTAACCCTGCCAGAAGACTCCTGCTGGAGGTGGCAACAACAGTAGATGTAGCCCTGCCAGAAGACTCCTGCTGGAGGTGACAACAAGAGCAGATGTAACCCTGCCAGAAGACTCCTGCTGGAGGTGGCAACAACAGTAGATGTAGCCCTGCCAGAAGACTCCTGCTGGAGGTGACAACAACAGCAGATGCAGCCCTGCCAGTAGAGAGAGAGAACTCAACCTGACAACAATGGAGGACAGGAGGGATAGGGGAGACATGATAACAACATATAAAATACTAAGAGGAATTGACAAGGTGGACAGAGACAGGATGTTCCAGAGATGTGACACAGCAACAAGGGGACACAGCAACAAGGGGACACAGCAACAAGGGGACACAGCAACAAGGGGACACAGTAACAAGGGGACACAGCAACAAGGGGACACAGCAACAAGGGGACACAGCAACAAGGGGACACAGCAACAAGGGGACACAGCAACAAGGGGACACAGCAACAAGGGGACACAGTAACAAGGGGACACAGCAACAAGGGGACACAGCAACAAGGGGACACAGCAACAAGGGGACACAGCAACAAGGGGACACAGCAACAAGGGGACACAACAACAAGGGGACACAGTAACAAGGGGACACAACAACAAGGGGACACAGTAACAAGGGGACACAGCAACAAGGGGACACAGCAACAAGGGGACACAACAACAAGGGGACACAGCAACAAGGGGACACAGCAACAAGGGACACAGCAACAAGGGGACACAGTAACAAGGGGACACAGCAACAAGGGACACCAGCAACAAGGGGACACAACAACAAGGGACACAGCAACAAGGGGACACAGCAACAAGGGGACACAGCAACAAGGGACACAGTAACAAGGGGACACAGCAACAAGGGGACACAGCAACAAGGGGACACAGCAACAAGGGGACACAGCAACAAGGGGACACAGCAACAAGGGGACACAGCAACAAGGGGACACAGCAACAAGGGGACACAGCAACAAGGGGACACAGCAACAAGGGACACAGCAACAAGGGGACACAGCAACAAGGGACACAGCAACAAGGGGACACAACAACAAGGGACACAGTAACAAGGGGACACAGCAACAAGGGGACACAGTTGGAAGTTGAAGACACAGATGAATCACAGGGATGTTAGGAAGTATTTCTTCAGTCACAGAGTAGTCAGGAAGTGGAATAGTCTGGCAAGTGATGTAGCGGAGGCAGGAACCATACATAGCTTTAAGAAGAGGTATGATAAAGCTCATGGAGCAGGGAGAGAGTGGATCTAGTAGGGACCAGTAAAGAGGCGGGGCCAGGAGCTGTGAATCGACCCCTGCAACCACAAACAGGTGAGTACACACACCTGTTCAACCAGAGAGGGACTGTGAGGTTAGAGTGTGACAGCATGACTCCCTTAGGGACCCCAGTGGTCCCTGAAGAGAAGAAGACCACAGCTACGGTCCTCTGGGACTCCACACCCTGCAAGATTAAGTGTCCACATGTATCATCAATCATCAGTTATCAATCTTCAATCATCAGTTATAATCAGACATCAATGTATAGGTCAATTATCAATGAATACGTCCATCATCAATCATCAATGAATACGTCCATCATCAATTATCAATGAATACGTCCATCATCAATCATCAATGAATACGTCCATCATCAATCATCAATGAATACGTCCATCATCAATGAATACGTCCATCATCAATCATCAATGAATACGTTCATCATCAATCATCAATGAATACGTCCATCATCAATCATCAATGAATACGTCCATCATCAATCATCAATGAATACGTCCATCATCAATCATCAATGAATACGTCCATCATCAATGAATACGTCCATCATCAATGAATACGTCCATCATCAATCATCAATGAATACGTCCATCATCAATGAATACGTCCATCATCAATGAATACGTCCATCATCAATCATCAATGAATACGTCCATCATCAATCATCAATGAATACGTCCATCATCAATGAATACGTCCATCATCAATGAATACGTCCATCATCAATCATCAATGAATACGTCCATCATCATCAATGAATACGTCCATCATCAATCATCAATGAATACGTCCATCAATCATCAATGAATACGTCCATCATCAATGAATACGTCCATCATCAATGAATACGTCCATCATCAATCATCAATGAATACGTCCATCATCAATGAATACGTCCATCATCAATGAATACGTCCATCATCAATCATCAATGAATACGTCCATCATCAATCATCAATGAATACGTCCATCATCAATGAATACGTCCATCATCAATGAATACGTCCATCATCAATCATCAATGAATACGTCCATCATCATCAATGAATACGTCCATCATCAATCATCAATGAATACGTCCATCAATCATCAATGAATACGTCCATCATCAATCATCAATGAATACGTCCATCATTAATCATCAATGAATACGTCCATCATCAATCATCAATGAATACGTCCAACATCAATCATCAATGAATACGTCCATCAATCATCAATGAATACGTCCATCATCAATCATCAATGAATACGTCCATCATCAATCATCAATGAATACGTCAGTTATCAATGAATAGGTCAAATCATCAGTCATCAATGAATACTTCAAATCATCAATCAGTCATTAATCACCATCAAATCACAGTATCTCAAACAAAATCAGTCAGGCCTACTCACTAGGCTGTGGGCTTGTATAGGCTGTGCTTGCAGGAGGTGTGTGAGGGTGTGGCCGGCACTGCTAGTGCCAGGGTCCAGGAGCCACACCCGTCGTAGAGTGCCAGTGGGCAGGAGTGTTTGGGCACCATCTAGCAGCCTCTGGGCACTGCTGTGTATCACTGCCCACTGAGCCTGGCATACCCTGATCGAGCGTGCTAGCTCTTCTGTGTGTGAGAGAGTGTGAGAGTGTGTGAGAGAGAGAGAGAGAGAGAGAGAGAGAGAGAGACAGAGACAGAGAGACAGAGACAGAGACACAGAGACAGAGACAAAGAGAGACAGAGACAGAGACACAGAGACAGAGACACAGAGACAGAGACAAAGAGAGACAGAGACAGAGACAAAGACAGACAGAGAGAGACAGAGAGAGAGAGAGAGAGAGAGATAAAGAGAGATAGCTATACGTGTTTCCTCAATGTTATCATCATTATTCACTATTATTATTACTATCACTAATTATTATTAATATTTCTTATTGATTATACTTTATATATTGCACAATAATAATTATTACTAAACTGACCTTGAGAGAGGTCAGGTGACAGCAGGACACAGGTGGCACCTAGGTAGGTGACAGCCAGCAAGAGAAGTGGGTAATCCAGGTGACTGATAGTTAACAGGATAACAGAATGACCGGGTTCGATCCCCGCAGCGGCCAGGCCTCCAGCCACCTTGGGAACCGACGTTAGGTACCAGCTGTACTTCCGGTTCTCTCCTGTCAACGCGTCGATCTGCGTGTATATCGGTGTATATGCGTCGATAAGTGAGTATATCGGTGTATATGCGTCGATAAGTGAGTATATCGGTGTATATGCGTCGATAAGTGAGTATATCGGTGTATATGCGTCGATAAGTGAGTATATCGGTGTATATGCGTCGATAAGTGAGTATATCGGTGTATATGCGTAGATAAGTGAGTATATCGGTGTATATGCGTCGATAAGTGTGTACATCGGTGTATATGCGTCGATAAGTGTATACATCGGTGTATATGCGTCGATAAGTGAGTACATCGGTGTATATGCGTCGATAAGTGAGTATATCGGTGTATATGCGTCGATAAGTGAGTATATCGGTGTATATGCGTCGATAAGTATATCGGTGTATATGCGTCGATAAGTGAGTACATCGGTGTATATGCGTAGATAAGTGAGTATATCGGTGTATATGCGTCGATAAGTGTGTACATCGGTGTATATGCGTCGATATGTACATCGATGTATATGCGTCAATGTGTATATCAGTGTATATGCGTCGATAAGTGAGTATATTGGTGTATATGCGTCGATACCTGGAGTATACCAAGGGAGAGTTCTGGGGGTCAACGCCCCCCCGGCCCGGTCTGTAGCCAAACCTCATAAGTGTGTATATCGGTGTATATGCATTGATAAGTGTTTATACTGGTGTGTCGATGGGTGTATACCGATGTATATACATAAGTGTATTTAGTGTATATCTATTGATTAGTGTGTATACCTCGGTGTACATACATACATCTTTAAGTGTGTATATGATGGTGTATATACACCGGTGAATGTGTATATTTTCAGAGAAACCTTAAGCATGTTTTATGAAAATTAGCGTATTAGTTGCCTTGTATATACCCTGGGTATATATGACAAATGTATATACCCTGGGTATATGACAAATGTATATACCCTGGGTATATATAACAAATGTATATACCCTGGGTATATATAACAAATGTATATACCCTGGGTATATATGACAAATGTATATACCCTGGGTATATATAACAAATGTATATACCCTGGGTATATATAACAAATGTATATACCCTGGGTATATATGACAAATGTATATACCCTGGGTATATATGACAAATGTATATACCCTGGGTATATATGACAAATGTATATACCCTGGGTGTATATGACAAATGTATATACCCTGGGTATATATGACAAATGTATATACCCTGGGTATATATGACAAATGTATATACCCTGGGTATATATAACAAATAGTAATATACCCTGGGTATATATAACAAAAGTATATACCCTGGGTATATATAACAAATGTATATACCCTGGGTATATATAACAAATGTATATACCCTGGGTATATATAACGAATGTATATACCCTGGGTATATATAACAAATGTATATACCCTGGGTATATATAACAAATGTATATACCCTGGGTATATATAACAAATGTATATACCCTGGGTATATATGACAAATGTATATACCATGGGTATATATGACAAATGTATATACCCTGGGTATATATGACAAATGTATATACCCTGGGTATATGACAAATGTATATACCCTGGGTATATATGACAAATGTATATACCCTGGGTATATATGACAAATGTATATACCCTGGGTATATATGACAAATGTATAAACCCTGGGTATATATGACAAATGTATATACCCTGGGTATATATTGACAAATGTATAAACCCTGGGTATATGACAAATGTATATACCCTGGGTATGACAAATGTATATACCCTGGGTATGACAAATGTATATACCCTGGGTATGACAAATGTATATACCCTGGGTATATATGACAAATGTATATACCCTGGGTATATGACAAATGTATATACCCTGGGTATATATGACAAAAGTATATCTAAATGCCAATAAATGTGTGTATTTATATATATTATATATATATATATATATATATATATATATATATATTATATATATATATATATATATTTATATATATATATAATATATATATATACACTGAGGTGTATATGACGTATAATGGACTATTAGGACTAGAGGACAGGGAAACCAGTGGGGAGACATAATCACAACATACATAATACTCAGAGGAATTGACAGGGTGGGCACAGGCTATTCAAGAGGTGGGAAACAGGTACTCAGGGGCACAGATGGAAGCTGAAGACACGAGTCACAGGGATGTTAGGAAGTATTTCTTCAGCATGCACGCCTTACCGTTGCGATGTTCTCGCCATGGGCAGCAATTCTCTCTAGCATGAAGGATGCCCAGTTTGTCTTGGGTACTGGAGGCGGAGGGACATCGGATACCCATTCCAGTACCCGCGGCTCTCCTCTAGTCCTCTTCTCTTCCATCTCTCTTCCTTTATTACTATTTCCAGTAATAATCCAGAAATGAATAAAGCTGAATAAATTTTTAACAAAGCAATAATTCTTACTTTGTCAATAAGTATCACCGTCTGCACTATCCGGTTCGACCCCCCACAAATAAACAGGTGAGTGCAAAGGCAGATGATGTAACTAAAAGGGAAAACTGGAAGAAAGCAAAGGGTTGGAGGACCTTGTTGTCACAGCTCTCACAGAGACAAAGCACAGGAGAACTGATAACATATCCAATACTCCCAGAGGGGTTACAGATAGTTGGGATTGGACAAACACATGTTGACATTTTAAGAGCAGTTTGGGGCGTTTTCCAGCATATTTGACCCTTACACACACACACTAATTATAATTATAATTATGGGGGAGCACTAAACCCGTAGGATTATACAGTGCATGTGGGGGGGGGATGGAAGGTATTCAGGCTCAATTCAGGGAACTGGAGCACAGATCTAATTCCCTAGATCAAGAGCCCCTCACCACCGTCAAGGAACCTCCCTTGAGGGGACACACACACAAAGAGGAGCTGTGATTCAACCCCTGCAACCACGCATTGGTGAGTACACACAAAACACCTTAGGTAAATAGGTGCAAAAATTAATGATTTTTTTCTGCTCTTAAACGATGTCCCGAAAAAATTTCCAAATGTAAATTCCTTACATTTGGAAATGAAAAAATTCCACCATCCTCTTATATTTAATCGTACATTCAATTTTTCCTTCATGGGCCTCAAGTTTTGATGTTAGCAAGGGCACGTTTAATTATCTTATTTAGATTGGTTAACTTGGGCCGTTTGTCGGGTTCCTTACTCAAAGCTTAGTCTATCCATAATATAAGGTCATCAGGAAGTTCAAGTCTGAACCTACATGATAGGATATAGAATATAGCAGACAAACTGTGAGTATCAGAAGTGACGGTGGAGGGTTAAGCATTCAGAACCTCTGGTGCCATCCATGAGTCTCTTATGTGTGTTTCTTGTGGTCTGGCTGTCTCGAACAGGGGCGAAGAATTGATTTTAGTGGCCATTCCAAAATCAATTAAAATACATTTAGTACCATTATAAGAGTCAAGGACACAAATATTATTTAACTTTAAGTTGTTGTGAGCGACTCTGACAGACAGCAGCTGTTGGATTCGAGTAGATGCACTATGCATGAGCCGCAGAAATAATTTGAGATTAAGTTATCTCATTTTTAAAAATTTTCTTAATGTTGGTCCGGCATAGTGAGTTAACAATATACGCTGTTTAAGGTTCACACCGTAAATTTGCTAAAATCCTTAGTGTCCCTGTAGCCGGTAGAGGAATCGCATTTCATCATACAAATTAATGTACGCATCACTGCCTTTAAACATCTTGAAAACAAGATTCTATTTTCTGTTTTTGACTCTCATACAGTCACCGTAGCAGCCTGAAGCAAGATTTTTCACTTTCGATTCTTTTAGCAGGGTGTCCACCTGTTTTAACTTAATGATTCTAATGCCCTTTCTTTCGGCGTACCCCTCGATGATGTCTCGCAATTTTAACTTGTGCTCGCCACTAAGGGTCACCTCATTATCATCATCATTTCTCATTTCACTGATAACCTCCTTTCTTCTCTTAGATTCCTTCTACCTGTTACTGACATTATGCGTACTGTTATCAGCATCATTCTCCAGCCTCCTTTTCTTTATCTGGTGCTAGTTATTATCCTCTGTCCCATCAGGAAGGGTCACCTCACCCTTATCTTCTTCCCCCATTCTACCGATAACCTTTCTTCTCTTAGATTCCTTCTACCTGTTACTAACACTATGCCTACTGTTATCAGCATCATTCTCCAGCCTCCTTTTCTTTATCTGGTGCTCGTTATTATCCTCTATCCCATCGCCCTTATCTTCTTCCTCCATTCTACCGATAACCTCCTTTCTTCTCTTAGATTCCTTCTACCTGTTACTAACACTATGCCTACTGTTATCAGCATCATTCTCCAGCCTCCTTTTCTTTATCTTGTGCTCGCTATTATCCTCTAGCCCAGATATTTTTCTCTTATTCCCGTCTATATCTTGCGCCATCCGACTCTCACATTTATCTGGCTTTATTTTGCCAATATATTTTTGGCTTCCGTCAGAACCTTCCTTTCCAACACTGTCACCCTGTCTCCTCTTATCGGTGTCTTTATCCAACTTAATTTTCTTTTCCTAGTGTTCCTTATCATCGTTCGTTGAACTTCGTTTTCTCTTATCAACGTCCATGGTGTTATCTCGATATTTACATTTAAATAAGAAAGAAATTATACAGAGAAACCTTCCTCTTCCTCTGAAGTAATGTTCGATAGCGTTTTCAATTTAATTTAGGCAGATTAGAACTCTGTAGTGTATTGCAGTGGTGTGTTGTGTTGCGTAGTCGTATATTGTGTTGCGTAGTGATATATTGTGTTGTATAGTGATATATATGTTTTTTTAAAGTGGTTATTGTGTTGTATAGGGGTTTATTTTGTGTTGCGTATTTGGTATACGGGTGTTGTATAGTGGTTTATTGTGTTGTATTAGTGGTATATTGTGTTGTATAGTGGTATATTGTGTTGTTTAGTGGTATTTGTTTTGTATAGTGGTATATTGTGTTGTATAGTGGTATATTGTGTTGCGTAGTGGTATACTGTGTTGTATAGTGGTATATTGTGTTGTATAGTGGTATATTGTGTTGTATAGTGGTATATTGTGTTGTATAGTGGTATATTGTGTTGTATAGTGGTATATTGTGTTGTATAGTGATATATTGTGTTGTTTTTTCACAAATCATACCTAAGCTCCCGGTTTTTCTGGTGTTCTCACGGTCGCTCTTACGTGCTAGAACTTTAATTTGTGTCATCAATCCTATACGATACATCCCTCTAGCGCCTGGAACCAATCTTGGGCGGAAAACATTATATACTGAGTCAAAAAAGGAGAATTAGTGTGCACTTCCTAGCAGAGTTTACTGCCAGAGGGGAATCATAGGCCTGTCCCGTGTGGAAAAATAATAATATTGAACTTTGTGTCAGAGGAAAGAAAGTCTCCCTGAAAGCATTGAGTATACTTTAGTGTTTTAGGTATACTACAGTGGCCCCCTAGTATATTGATGATAAAGGCTAAAGTGTCATTTAAAAACAGGTGAATTTGTAAATGAAGTGATAAGCCTATAGAGGCAGGTGCCAGAAGTCGCCAGAAACTTCCCACAGGTCAGCTGTTTTTAATAATTTTCCCTGGCCTGCTAGGTACTCGCATATAATCTAGTGATACCAGTGAATAGCAGAATTCAGTGTTGTAGTAGCAACAAACCAGTATTATAATGGTATTTAGTGAAGTGGAGTGACTTTCATTAGTTTCTTTTTCTTGAAATCCCAGACTTTTACTGTGAATTTCATATAACCTGTAGTTACCAGCGGTCGCAATATACACAACGAGAAGCAATTTTTACTACAGAAAAAGCGCCCTTCTCCAAAATTTGCACCAGCCCAACTATAGTGATAATATAGCATTTATTGGGGTGGAGACGGAAAAAAAAAATAGAGAGCTAGATACAGCGATTGTTTAAACAAAGGTGGAGGCTGGGCCGTTCGTCATTGTAGGAGCTGCCAGATATCACCGGCTCTTCAACACGCAAGTTATACTTTGTATCAATCAAATCACATATTACTCGGGTAGATAATTTCCAGTAGATCCTTCATGTGTTAGCTCAAATCACCGACCAGTATGGTTTAAATAAGTGACCCACTGATCAGATCAGATAGACTGGCCCGAACCCTTGACTGGTCCGAACCCTTGACTGGTCCGAACCCTTGATGGTCCGAATCCTGGACTGGTTTCAAACGGTTTCGTTGTGCACCACCTAGCAGGTTATTAATAGAATATTCAAGAGGTTGCTAGTAGAATTGAGTAAATCAACCATTCAAATCATTATGAAGCTGTGTGTAGTCTGTGGGTCAGTCAAACAAACGGGCTTCCAATGCATAAATTGTCATTTTGTGGAAATTGGTGTCACGGCCCCTTGTGCAGTTATCAAGAACTAGCTACAAGCAGTATTAAAACAGGGAATGTTTTTGGGTATGCCCAAATGAGATAAATCTGTGGCTAAAATCACAAGGGTATTAAAAGAGGTCAACATCAAAGCTGCTTTCATAGAAAACCTGGAAGCTTTTCTACAACAGATGGGAAAAAAAAGTCCGGGCTGAATGGTACTGCCCTTGATACTGGCCATGTAGTCAGAAACTGTAAGGTGGAGATGATGTCCTGGTAGTCAGTAAATGGGGGGCTGATAGTGCTGTCTGGGGGGACAGTAATGGGGAAGTGGAGGTGCTGCCCTGGGAGACAGAAAGGGTGAAATTTGGAGGTGCTGTCCTGGGAGACAGTAATGGTGAAGCTGGAGATGCTGTCCTGGGAGACAGTTTAATTGGGAAGCTGGAGATGCTGTCCTGGGAACAGTAATTTGGTGAAGCTGGAGATTTTGTCCAGGTAGTCGGGAATTATACGCAGGAAGGAATACATATGAATGACCGCATAGGGGACAGGAGCCATAGTAGGGAAACAGTGTGTCAAAGATAAGATAAAACCAAAATTGCAAACTAGAAATACCGCAGGAAATAGCAAACAAGAGGACTCCACTAAACAATAGTGAGGATATATTACCAAAAAACAATGGTGGGAGCTCCCTTGTTGGTGCTAGGGAGGATAGAAGTAAGACAGGGAAACATGCACCAACAGGGAATACGTCACAGAAACCCAAGGCAAACGGAAACCAAGCCTGTGCACATACTATGCCCCTCGGTATCTGCTGGCATGGGAAATCTGAAAAAACAGATGGGACGGCAACTATGGGCCCCCCTAGGAAATGCCATGCCATATGAAAAACAGGAAAATGCAAACTCCTTCCCGTAAGCTTTTTCACCCTGAACTGTGTACCTCTTCAGTACAGGAAAGACTGTGCTATAACTTAAATTGCCAGGCATACCATCTAAAGGGGACAAAAAAATACAAAAC